TCAACTGGCTTGACTTCCGTCGGATTATAGTCATCGCCGAATCCGCGAGCATGAAGAAAAAGTGATCAAGGAAGATGAAGATTAGTCACATCGGCGCCGCATGATGAAGTCTTGAATAGGCCTTCATTCAGCAGTAGATCGGCAAAAAACAGATGAGTGTGATAAGCACAGTGTACGAATACATACTTACGAAATTAATTAAAAATTATGTAGACCAGGACAATGCAAACGGCGATTGAGAAAAAACGAGTAGGTACATCGTATAAATTATGGTTGTAGTATAGTACAGTAAATAGAGAATGTTTATTTTATTCATCAATATTAAATTATACCTTTTGATCAGTATACGTTACGGTTAATTTTCGCAATGCGGCGATTGAAGTTCCATGAAAAGAAGTTGCTTAAGAAAGTTGATTTCATCGATTGGGAACTAGACAGAAACGTTCATGAAGTTACAGCCGTTAAGAGATACCACCTTAAGGACAGAACCGAGTATGTATTCTACAAGAAGTTGGCGCGAGAGGTACGGGAATTGGCGGCGAAAATCAAGGAATTGGATGTGAAGGACGCGTTCCGGGTAGAGATGTCGCGGCGGCTCATTGACAAGCTCTACCATTTGGGCGTAATTGCGACCAAGGGTGGACTGGACTTGTGTGCGTCGGTGACCGCTTCTTCGTTCTGTAGGTAAGTGTCTAGCATCGTACAACTACTTTTGTTCTTGTACATTGCTTGTTGCCCTAGGCGCCGTCTGCCAGTCGTCTTAGTCAAGCTGCACATGGCCGAGCACCTGAAGGCGGCCACGATGTTCGTCGAGCATGGACACGTTCGCGTTGGACCGGAGCTGATCACAGATCCTGCGTATATAGTTTCCAGGTATGTTCGATATCCAGCTTCAGTTTGGCAGTTTTGAATAGTTTCAAGTTTACATCTTGGACAGGGACAACACCGCTGCTGTTTTTATGGTATGGGAATCGGCCATCATTAAAGCTTTTAGGGCAGCCTGTGTTAATAATGAAATAAGCTTCAAACATCTGTCTTCCAGTAAGGACATCATCTTAATTTTTACTATGTAATCTCTGTATTTTTTATTTTCCTTCTCTTTCACGTCATTTCACCTTGCTTATCTTATTTGTCATAGTTACAATGCTGTAAGTGTAAATTTGTTGATCTCTATGACTACGATATCTTCGCTGTATATTATAATTTGCGCTGAAGAAGGAATATCGTTATGATTTCCCAAAGCATAACATATGGTTTTTATTCCAGGCTTCTAACAGTGTTTTATCCCAATCTGTTAACCTAAGAGCCTATATATATATATCTCTTCATCGTCCATCGCCGCTTCTCCTTTCGCGTCGCTGAGGCAGACGCGTCAGACAGTGCTTCCAACGT